TTAGAATATTGTACAACTATGAAAAATCCTACAGCATGAAGTCTGTACCTAGCTGAAGGAATAATTATTTTATAGAATGTAAAACACACAGAATAAAATATGATGTATGCAATATGTTCTCAGGTATGAAAGAGAAAAATTTAGAGCACCAGGGGAAAGTACATCTGGGTATTAGCTGCCTCACAATGCTGGTATCAGACATTATTTCTGTCTCCTTTCTTCTACTGACAAAAACAAAACAAAACAACAAAAAAAGTTGTCTCCAAGTCATGTAGTAACAGGAAACATATTTACCCCAGCCTTAAACAAGAAAGTATGGACAGTATACACAAAACATCATAGAAAAAGATTCATTAATAACCTGCAAAATGAAGATGACACAACCTTGCCTACTGAGAATGAAGAAGTCTTAAAGCACTTATTGATGAAGATCAAAGACTATGTAACTTTCAGTATAGATTACACCTCAACACAAAGGGAACAAAAATCTACATAACTGGACAATAAGCAGCATCATGATAAATGGAGAAAAGATTAAAGTTGTCAAGGATTTCATTTTACTTGGAACCATAGTCAACACCCATGGAAGCAGCACTCAGTAAATCAAAGGGCATATTGCATTGGGCAAGTCTGTTGCAAAAGACCTCTTTAAAGTGTTAATTAGCAAAGATGTTCTCTTTGAAAACTAAGGTGTCCTTGATGGAAGCCATGTTAGTTTCAATTGCATCATAAACATGTGAATGCTGCATAATGAGTAAGGAAGACTGAAGAAGCTTGATGCATTTGCATTACAGTGTTGGCAAAGAATATCAGACATACCCTGGGCTGCCAGAAGATCAAACAAATCTGTCTTAGAGGAGGCAGAGCCAGAATGCTCCTTAAAGTGAGGATGGCAAAACTTTGTCTCAGGTCCTTTGGACATGCTATTAGCTGGGGCCCAGTCCATGGAGAAGGATATCATGCTTGGTAAACTAGAGGGTCCATGAGAAAGAGGAAGCCCCTCAAAGAGATGAATTGACACAATGGCTGCAACAATGAGCTCAAACAGCAATAATTATGAGGATGGCAAAGTTATGAGCAATGTTTTGTTTTGTTATAGATGGGCTCATTATTAGTTGGAACTGATTCAACCTCACAACAACACCTCAACAATAACAACATGCATGAAACAAAGGATTTCAATAGCCATAACATTAGTCAGTGCAGGACAGTGAAATATGGAAGCAGAAAAGCTGAGCCCACAACAATTCCACCTACTGACTGAAGAGATTCCAGGCTGCAAGGCAGGGAGACTGGACATTGGCATTTTGAACTGAATAAAAAGAAAACACAACATATCTAAGCTTGAGAGATGTTGATAAAAACGTATTTATTGGAGGAAAAAATAAAAGGTTCTCAAATCAAGGATCACAGCTTCTAACTTAAGAAACTAGGGGAAAAGGAGTAAGTTGTCACGGAGGAAATCAAAGAAACAAGAAACAAAGCAACACAGAAAGACAATGAAACCCAAACAGATTCTTCAAGAAGATCAGTAAGATTGGTAAACTTCTAGCTAGAATGATCACAGGTTACCGGTATCAGGGGTAAGAGAGGTGACTCCACCCCAGATTCTTGTTTACATGATGAAGGAACACTATGAACAACTTTATGCTGATAATTTAACAACTTGGATACAGCGGATAAGTTCCTTGAAGACAGAAACTGCCAGATCTCAAGCAGGAAAAAACAGTTGCCTTGTATGTCACTTGAACAGCAGTGCTCAGTCGTGCCACATCCCCACCACCAGGCTCTGTTTCTGGAAATGGAGGAGATTATTCTACAGGTTGACAAAACTTCACAATAAGAAAGAACATATAATAAAAGTGTGTGGGAAAAACTAAAAACTAAGTACAAACACTATAGAAAACTGTTTAAAATAACATATATACCCTAATAAAGTTAAATATTAATACTTTTTTTTAAAATTGTGATTTGGGTGAAAGTTGACTGAATAAATTCCTTTTCCATACAAGAGTTCATACACATTTTGTTTCATGACATTGATTGCAATCCCCATAATGTAAAAACCGTCTTCCCACTTCCTCCCTGTGGTTACCTTTTCCCTGTGTCCTCCTTTTCTATGCATTCCTGCCCTCTAAGCTATTACAACATGAACATTTAATGGCATAGTTAGAGTGAACTCATAACCATGAAAGAAAGGCCATTTTCAGTTCTGTCCTTGTGCTGCTGGGGTGAATTTCATCCTTAGGCAGACAGTGCCTAAGGCATTTGACTGCCACCCAGAAGGCTGGCAGTTCAAACCCACCAGCCACTCCTCGGAAGGAAGGTTGGACAATCTACTTCCATAATGATACCGCCTCGGAAACCCAAGGAGGGGTTGCTATGAGTCAGTTTCAACTTGATGGCACATAACAACAACAACAACAGCCTGATTTTATCTTCAAATAGGGTAACAGGACACAAGGCTCCTTGGAAAATAGCTAATGCCTGTTTTGTGGGAAAGAGATCAAAATGTGTCTTCAACATCTCTATTCTAAAACTGTGTTCTTTTTCTTTCAGGCCTGGTCAACAAGCGAAGCCCTAGGAAAACATAAAAGAAAAACTGGAAAGACTGAAGTTATCAGACCTATGACACCAAAGTTCTAATAATAGCTTTAAAATAATAGGGATGCTATAGTAAGTTTTCAGCTCTGGTGGTGTACTGCCTACGACATTTAACTGCTAACCAGAGGGGTGGCAGTTCAAACCCACCAGCCACTCCTGGGAAGGAAGATTGGGTGATCTCCTTCCATAGTGATACCCCATCAGAAACCCAAAGAGGGGTTGCTATGAGTTAGCTCCGGCTCCACCACAATGAGTAAAGTAAGTTTTAACATCAATGTATTTGACCATGTTTTATTGTTTTTAAAAGAATCTAAAATGTTTTATGATTAAATCAACAGTGGGATTTGATTAAATGAGCCTAATAAATATTCAATGTATGAGAAAATTTAATATACAAAATGTGTGCTTTATTAGTTGTGTGGGCAATGCTGAAAGGCTTAGTAGAGCTTTAGGAAGTTCGTATGATTAATAAATCAGGCATTGAACACAGGCCACACTGGGGCAGTTCTTTAGACCAAGAGCCCCTTAGACAAGAGTCCCATTGTCTCCATGACCCTGTTGCTGAAGATGAAGCATCAGCATCCCCGAGGGTCCTCCTCAGGAGAAGGTCTCAGTGCTTCCGAAGGTCAGATGAGTCCCTCCTCTTAGCACGCTCATGTAGGGGAACAAGGGAAGAGTTTCTTAAGGGCTGCCTTAAACTCCTTGTTTCTCAGGGTGTAGATGAGAGGATTCAAGGTGGGTGTCACAATGGTGTATACGACACCGATGGCCTTGTCCAGGAGCCCGGCAGAGCCGAGGGCCGGCCGGATGTAGGTATAGAGCACAGTGGAGTAGTACAAAGTGACCACAATGAGGTGGGAGGAGCAGGTGGAGAAGGCACGGCGCTTGCCCTCAGCCGACCGGATGCGCAGGATGCTGGCGATGATGCAGCCGTAGGACACCATGGTCAGCAGGAAGTTCAGGCCTGATAGGAACATGTCAGCAGTGATGGTCATGATGTCATGGAGGAAGGTCGGGCTGCAGGACAGTAGCAGCACAGGAGGGATCTCACAGAAGAAGTGCGCAATGAGATTGGGGCCACAGAAGTTGAGTTGCAGGATCATGCCTGTCAGCAGGGAGGCGTTGAATGCCCCTGTGAACCACACAAAGGCTGCCAGGGCCACACACACTCTGCTGCTCATGAGTGTTCCATAGTGTAGTGGCCGGCAGATGGCCAGGTAGCGGTCATAGGCCATGGCAGTGAATAGCAGCAGCTCAGAGCTCAGTGACCAGGTGAAGAAGAACATCTGGCTGAGGCAGCCTCCAAAGGAGATAGTGCTGTCTGCGACCAGGCTCTGCAGCACCTTGGGCAGGATGGACGAGGTGCACACCATGTCCAACACGGCCAGGTTGACTAGGAAGAAGTACATGGGGGTGTGCAGGTTGGGGCTGCAGCTGATGGCAGCAATTATGAGGCCATTTCCTGCCAGAGCCACGGTGAACAGGGCAAAAAAGAGGCAGAAGAGGGTGGCCTGAATCCAAGGGTCCTGAGTGAAGCTCTGAAGGACGAATATGGTCACTGTCCCATTCCCCAGGGCCATGGGTGGCAGCTGGCATGTGTCAGCTGGGGATTCTCAGGGAGTGCCACTTCCTAGTCAGGAGACAATGAACTTGATCTTTTACTGAAAAGTAAAAAATGACCAACTCCATTTAGTGACAGACTCTTCATGGAAGGGACAGAAGAAATTTTAAAGTTCCCATTCATGTTTTTAAGGGGCTTTGGTGGTGTAGTGCCTAAGATATTTGACTGCTAATCAGAAGGTCAGTGGTTCAAAGCTACCAGCCACTCTGCAGAAGGAAGACTGGGGAATCTACTTCCGTAAAAGATTTATCACCTCAGAAACCAAAAAAGTGTTGCCATGAGTCAGAATCAACTCGATAGCAGTGAGTTTTCAGTTTTTATCCATATCCTTGTCTTACTAATGAAAGGAAAAAGCAAGCAAAGGGCAGACGGATGCCTAGTGGGAAGGCCTGATGTGCAATGATGGACCAACACTAAGAATGCTCACTTTCCCAAGTCCTTTTAGGTGCTTGATTATGACCCACTCACGGTGCCTGCACATTGGAGGATGTCCCAAGGCAGTGACCCTCCATGTTACATGAGAGGCATAGAGAGGAGCTCTGGTCAGAGTGTCCAGGGCCCAGACCTACAATGGGGGAAATGGAGTCACCAGAATGAAAAAGACCGTAGAGAGAGGGGAAGGGAGGGGCCATGGAGGGAATGTAGGGAAGGGATAATAAAGTGAAGGTAGGAGAGGGAGCGTAGAGGGAGGGTAAAACCAAAATAAATAAATAAATAAATAAACTAAACTCACTGCCATCCAGTTGATTCTGACTCATAGTGGATTGTCCAATCTTCCTTTCATGGAGTGGCTGGTGGTTTGAGCCACTAACCTTCTGGTTTAGCAGTAAAATGTGTTAGGCACTATACCACCAAAGAGGGTGTAAGCAAAGGTAAGGGAGGGGCCATAGAGGGCAGACAGGGGAGAGAACAAAGAGGAAGGGTATGGGAAGGGTCCTAGAGGAAGAATAAGGGAAGCACCTTAGAGAGAAGGTGGGGGAGGGGCCTTGGAGGGAAGATAGGGAATGGACCACAGTGGGCAGAAGGGCAGAGGACATAGAGAGAAGGTAGGTGAAGGGCCATACAGGGAAAGTAAGGGAGGGACCATACAAGGAAGGTTGGGGTGAGGCCATAAAGCTAACACTACCTTTCAAGGAGCAAGCACACATTACTCACAGAATAAACATGCAAGCAGCCTGTTTTCTGTGTTGGACACTGTTCAAGGGTAGAGAGTGCTAGATCTCCATGGAGGACACACTCCCTTTTCATTGAGGCAGACAAAAGCCTTTCTAGCTGGATGTCTGGCAACCCAGGAGCTCCCATTTGCCACCAGGACCCCTAGGCAGAGAGGAGATCACCAGAGTAGAGAACCTCACTGCAGCAGGTTGTGGCTATAGGGAGTTTAGGAAGGATCCCACCCTGAAGCTGAGCTCTGTGCTCTGTGCTAATAGGGTCTCCTAGAACAAAAAGTATCCTAAAGAATTCACAAAGCAAGCACTAGAAATAATAAGGTAACTTAGCTAGGTTGAAGGATACAGGGATATTAAACAAAAAATCAATTGATTTTTTCCACATTAGCAGCAAAATTGTGTAAAATAAATTTTTAAAACTCCATGCAAAATAACATTAAAAATGCAATCCATAGAAATAATTTAACAAAGTATATGCAATACCTCTAATTGAAAACTATAATATATTGTTGAGAGAAATTAAACAAGAGCTAAATAAGTATACTATGTTCATGAATTAGAAGACAATATTAGGGCATTGATTCTCTTCTGATAAATTTTTAGATTAATCAATCACAATCATAATTCCAGAAGACTTTTTAAAGAACAAAAACTTCATGCTGATTCCAGAGAAATGCAAAGAACCTGGAGTAGTCAAAATAGTCTTGAAAAGGATAGACAGAGGACAAACCATCTCATCTCAACACTTAATATAAAGCTACATAATCAAAACCAGACTTGTTTTTGCATAAGGGTAAGTAAAACAATAGAACAGAATACTGCCCCCAAATAGAGCCAGACACATATGCTCAAGTGACTTTTCTTCTGATGAATGGGCCAACAAATTCAATGACAAAAGGGAAGTCTTGTCAATAAATTGTTTTGAAACAAGTGGATGTGCTGTTGTTGTTGTTGTCATGTGCCGTGGAGTCGGACCCGACTCATAGCGACCCCTCCTTGGGTTTCCGAGGCAGTATCACTATGGAAGTAGATTGCCCCATCTTCCTTCTGAGGAGTGGCTGGTGGGTTTGAACCGCTAGCCCTCTGGTTAGCAGTCAAGTGCCTTAGGCACTATACTACAAGAGCTCCTAGTGGATGTGCAGAGGGGGCAAAATACTCGACCTGTACCTCACACAATACAGAGAAATTGATTCAAAGTTCAGCATAGACCTGAAGAGAAGAGGTAAAATTATAAAGTTACTATCAAAATAAAATAAAATAAAAGCGCAAGTCAATTCTAACTCATAGCAACCCCTACTGGGTTTCCAAGGCTGTAAATTTTTTATGGAAGTAGACTTCCCTATCTTCCTTCTTCAGACAGGCTGATAGGTTTGAACCACTGACTTTCTGATAAGTGACCGAATGCTTTATCCACTACACCACCAGAGCTCCTTATAGTTATTATAAGCAAACATACGAGAATATCTTTGCCACATGGAACTAGACAAAATTCTTAGAAAGGATACAAGGAGAGAGCATATCTACATAATGTAATGCCTATGGCAAGCACTGAAATTGTGCCCCTGTCCAATTATCTGACACTTATTCTTTAGATAACTTTACCACAGTATCAGCTCCAAAATAAAAGGCAAGCTCATGAATCCTTCACTAAACACATGATGGCACTGCATGAAAATTTCAACTTCACCAGCCTTGCTTTTACTGATGAAAACTGGCCTATGATGGGCTCAAAGTCATTTGTCATCAGTTCTTCTCTTTTACACTCAGCAGAGCAAAATCACACAATCTGCATTGACCGATGGATGCCTTAAATATGAAAATATTACATTCAACTTGTGAATGATTTGGCGATGGATGGAAACTATGACAGTTAATGGGCACTGCTTAGTGGTGACCCCCCTTAAGTGGCACCCAGGGTGCTTGTCATACCTGCCACATCTTAGCACTAATAATAGTAGATTCATTGATAAATCAGACTGCATCAAAATTGACAAGGTCTGTTCACCAAACCACAGAGTTAAAAAAAAAAAAAAAATGAATAGGCAAGCCAGAGACTGAGAGGAAATATTCACAAGACATATAGTGGACAATAGCTTGTATACAACTTTCATAAAGAGGGGTCACTATGAGTTGGATCCGACTCGATGGCAGTTAGTTTGGTTTTTGGTTTTTATATATGAATCTCCTACTACTGAAAAATAAAAATCAAACAACTCAGTGCAGAGTTGGTGAATGATCAGACAGATCACTCACAAAATAAGATGTATAGATAACCAACAAGCACATAAAAAATTCCCACTGGCATTAATTGTCACAGAAATACAAATTTAAACCATGGGATAAACACTTAAAAACTCCAAAATGAATACAATTTAAATTTCAACTCAACCGAATTCACCATCATCAAGTTGAATCTGACTCATAGCAACTCCTCCTTGGGTTTCCAAGGCAGTATCTCTATGGAAGTGGATTGACAAATCTTCCCTCTGAGGAGTGGCTGGTGGGTTTGAATTGCTAGTCACATGCCTTAGGCACAACGCCACCAGAGCTCCCACAATTTAAATTGAGGCAGTACTAAATGTTGATGAGGAGCTGGAGTTATTAAGATTCAAATATTCAGGGAATAGAGAAAATGATACAGTCAGTTTGAAAAATAGTTTCTTAGAAACTAAACAGACACTTCCCCTATGACTCAGTAATTTTATTCCCAGATATTTAACAAATAAAAATGAAAAAATACATCCTCAAAAAGTCTTGATTGAGAATATTCATGAAAGCTTTATTTAAAATCACCAAAATCTGGAAGTAACCCAAATACCCTTCAACAAGGATATGGATTGATAAATTGAGGTATATGCACCAAGTTGAAAATAGGCACAGAAGGGATTCAACTGCTGATGAACAAACTAGCCTTGACACCCAAACCACCTGAGTATGGACAATACGCTAAATAAAAGAACAGAACTTACCGTTCCATTGATATGGTATCTTAGGATAGGCCAAATGAATCTGTGCTAACAGAACCCAGATCTACAGTTAACTCTGGGGGCATGGGATGGGGACTGACTGGGGAGGGTCATGAAAGAATTTCTAGGGGTCATGGAATGTCTGCATCTTGATAAGTGTGGGTTACTTAGCTGCAAGCATTTGTCAAAACATTTGAAAAAGTTCACATAAGATTCATCATTTCATGAAAATTTCCTAAAATCTATGAAGCAAATATACATTCTAGTTATTGAATTTGCTTTTTACAGTGTTGCAGTGGGAAGGAAAGCCTTCTAGGGAGAAGCATTTGGGAAGAAATTGCCTGTGTGCACTCAGGGAGGGTTGGGGAGGTTGGGCAGGAAGACCAAGTGCAAAGGCCCCTTGGCAGGAGGGCTGAGGCAGAGGTCGGTGCAGCTGCAGCAGAAGGAACAAGGAGGGGAGAGCAGATGGAGTGAGTCCCCTGCAGTCTGTGGAAAAGCTTCGCTGTGCCCTGGAGGATTCCTTCAGCAGGGCCTTCCAACTGCTCCCATCCCCTTGTTCTCCCATCACCCTGTCCCTTTTCCTTTGTCTGAGTTTTCACAGTGTTCTGTTTCTTTCTTTGTCTGTTTTGTTGTGTTTAATCAGCACTTCATTGGGAGCAGAGGCAAGGCAAAGACATATTGATAGAGTTCCCTCTGCAGGCCACGGCCCTGTTGGAAATGCTTTACCTATAATTTCATTCTTCCTACTTCACAGACTAGTCACCAAAAGCTCAGGATCAGGCACTAGGCTCCACAACCACCACCACTGTGTGCAAGGCTCCATG